AACTCGTGCTAAGGACTCATAAAGGCCTTAAAAATCAAAATGCTAAGGATGGATCGGGACTCCTCCAAGCCATGGATATCGTTCAAGCAAAACAGGGGACTCCTTACAAGTTGTATGAAATCAAGAACGACGTATCCCGTGGTGCTAGGCAAAAAGTAAAGAGCACATTTGTGCCAAGATCTCAAGGGTCATTAAGGACCCACAAGGAAATGAGATGACTCGTAAACTCACTGAGTCATTCCACAACGAGATTAGGTAACCAACTGCGCTTCAAGAAGAAAAAGAGCATGCAAGGACACCTTCATCATTAAAAGTAACACAAAAGGCCACAACAAGCCGAACCTCGGAGAAGACATGAAGTCTTACTAAGAATTTCACTCACGAAAGAAGAGATGAAATTCAATAAGAAAAGGTCAACCCAAAGCTTATCGACTCCCAAGAGACTTTGAGAAGAATTTGGGAAGTGCGCCCTAAGAGATCGGCTTGGTTGACCAAACTTGGTCAAGACCTTGGACGCATTAACGAAGTAAGTGTTAAATCATCACGGGAGATTCCCTCAAGATAGGAGAGAAGGATGAAACTTTAGCCTGGGAAGCAAGGACTAACAAGGATCTTAAAGTCAAGCAAGTGCCAACACCAAGGAAGAAGGATCATCAGTTCGTCAATACGTTGGGATCAAAGCATCAAACCAGAATAGTCACTTAAAATCGAGAACCCTTAACCCATCCTAGCCGAATTCCTTACCCTCCCTCGGGAAATCGGCCCCCTCCTTATTTCAAAACCCTTTCTACCCTTCAAACCACATTCTTGATTCCCTATTTTAACGATTCCATACAAGGTGGCAACCTCACACCCTAAGTTGCAACCTTGAAAACTTTGATCCTAATTCCTAAAATTCACTTTGTCCTTAGGTTTGAAACCCACTCTCTTAGCCCTTTAAACCTAATCGTTCCCAAAAACCCAGCACCCATAGACATACAATTATACAGTTTCCCTGCAGAATACTTTCTCTATAGGACCACCGTACTACCTTTGACTCGTTACCCCCGCAATGATTTCTAAGCTTCGGGGACGAAGCTTCTCGTAAGGGGGGGAGAGTGTAACACCCCGTGTTACGGCCTTCAATCCCGGATTAATTATTTAATTAATCTCGTTAATAATAATTAAGTATGATTTAATTCGGTTAGATTTCCCTTTAATTAATTAATGAGGTCCACCATGAACCGTGTACCCTTGCCTAAATGAGAGTCTTAGGCCTATTAGGAATAAAGGAAGTAGGCCTTTTACTATTCAGATTATGATTAGGATTCTCTTTAATTAATTAAAATGGTCCACTATGGATCATGGACCCTTATCCCTAAACCCAATCCTTAGTTCCAAAAGAAATAGAATTAGCAAGCCTATAATATTAGTTCCTAACTAGGACTCCTAAATATATAAATAGGGGGCTTGAGAGGCACCTAGAAACCCCCACCACAATAAACGTTCCACCACCCCAAAGAGCTCCAAGAATCCCCTTAGAAGAAATCAACAAAGCAAGAAAGCTTAAAGAAAGACCCTTCATAGCAAAGGAATTAATTAAAGCTAAGAGGTAACCCATGTCTCAACAAAACCTATTTTCATAGTTATGATTTCCCCCGTAGGTTTTCCCCATATTATTGTGTATTGATGATTTGTGATGTTATTATTGATGATTGAAGGGATAATTCCATGGGTGATCTTGACATCGGGAGATTCTTGATAACTATGGTGTTCTTAACGATTATGTGGAGTTCTTGATGATTATATGGTGTTCTTGATAATTGTATGGCGTTCTTGATGCTTAAGTGTTATTTGTACCGAATCTTGTAATTAGAAGACGAACCGTATTCTTGTTGATATAAAAGTAATTAGAACCCTAGGTTGATGTCCTTGTTGGCGTTCTTGATGCTTATGTGATATTCTTACCGAATCTTGTAATTAGAAGACGAATCGTATTCTAGTTTGATTAAAAATAATTAGAACCCTAGGTTATATCGTGAAATTCGTATGGTATTATACTTGGTGTATTAGGTGGAATTTCGCATGATCGGGTGTTTATTAGGTCTAGAAAAGCATGATAGGTTATGTACCGTTTGATTCTTGATTTTGATCCGTTAAATTGTCTACGTGTGTTATCAATTGCGTTTGAAAGTGTCTAAGCATGGTCTCGGGTTCCACGAAGGTTCCCGGGGCGTATTTGGTGTTAATGAGTCAGTGGGGGGTAGGTGGGGATAGGGGACCCGCCACCTACCCGCGGTCAAAATGGGGCAGTTCCGGCAGCGGGCAGCTGCCCGCCGGCGACCCGCTACCCGGAACAGTGTTTACCGGCGGGCAGCCGGCGGGTGGCCCCCCACCCACCGGCTACCCGCTGGAAATTCCCACACTTGGGACCCCGACTTCCCCGTTTGATGTTTCCCCGACCCCCGTGGTGTCCCAATGGACTCCGTCTATCGTGCCTATGTCTAGTTTGATGTTTCGGGTACCTTTCGTAGGTTGTATGAGTCTTATATATTGCATGCTAGTTGAATTGGTATCCCGCTGACCTAGGTGAAAGGAGTATGAACCCCTTAGGACCATTCTTAGTATGTGAAGGATCACGCATAGGTTTTGTTATACGTTTTCTCCCCCTTCCCAATGTGTTAATGTGGGTTGCATGTGCTTGCTATGTGTTATGTGTGCATGTTACCCCGATTTGGTTGAGATCAATCGGGCTATACGGGCAGTCGGGTGGGCTGAGAACCATACCGGCTGTTAACCAGGCTGGTAGAGACCGGTCAGGTATATAAATATTATATAGGACTAAGTTCCACTATACGGGCAGTCGGATGGGCTAAGAACCATACCGGCTGTTAACCAGGCTGGTAAAGACCGGTCAGGTATATAAATATTATATAGGACAAAGGTCCACTATACGGGCAGTTGAACGGGTTGAGAACCATCCCAACTGTTAACCAGGCTGGTAAAGACCGGTCAGGTATATAAATATTATATAGAACTGCGGTTCATTAGTCGGTTGCGATCGACTCCTCCGTAATGTGAGACAGGGTAGGGTGCTGCGAGGCCGTGTCAGAGCTATATGCGCTGACCCTCATGTATTGGCATGCGGTTGGTCCTGTGGCGCCAACAAAGTGTGCTATGTGATGAGATATGGATGAGTTGTGTTTATGAGTATATTGGGGGATGTGACTATGGGATTTATGCTGGGGATTGTTTATGTTGGGTTATGATTATTAATTGTGCTCAGCTTTATCTGTCTTGCCTGTTGTGGATTGTATACGCTTGTTATAACTGTTGCTTGTGTCTAGCCTTATCTGTCGAGTCATTCCCGGTTTTAAAAGCTAGAGTCTCGTAGGATATATCTTCATGCTTCAAAATGGTTTTCGTATATCTATATATATATCTCTATATATATTGTATTTCAACGCATTGGAGTGGGTTACCAACATCTCTCGCTGAACAGATATATTTGGCTTTCTTGCACAGAAGAGTAAGTCACTGGAGCGCGCTAGAACTTGGAACGTAGAAATAGTTAGTTTCCCCTTCGGCCTGCGTGCCATGTTTACGCATTTACATTATTGAGACATTAGTTAGTTAGCCTGTGCACCTGAGTTCTCTAGCTCAGGTGTGGCATAGCACCCCGTACTCTTGTATTCGGTTTTGGGATTTAATAAGATTTCACCTTTATTTCATAAGTTTTAATTATCCTGAAAATCTGGGGTGTTACACAGGCCCTGCCTGCTAACCCCATAGGTAGGGCTTCCACTATGTCCACCCCCACCTTGAAAAGGGGATCACATAGCATTGATGACAGATCTTGCCTCTCCAGGGTATAGGCATCGCAGTAGAGTGCCGCTATAGGACCTCTTGTAGAGTGTATCACCGAGGTGTGGGTAGGTTCTGTAACACCCCACTTTTCTTAAACTTAATTAACAGACTCAACCTTTAAAGATAAACTAAAGCAACGGAATAAACTTACTAAACATCTTAATAGAGGTGTCACCGCCACAATCACCCTTCACGGTGATTGCACAAGCTAAGGATAAATCAAACTAAACATTAAAGTCTACTACCATCCATCAAACTAGGGGATGAGACCCCAGTGTCCATCCCCATCAAAACAAGGGTAGTCATCTACAAATCTCAAAAAGTAATAACATCAAGAGTTTAGACTACAACTAGCTATATATGCTAATCTAGTCTTACTCGTACTCTCTCATGAACTGGGTCCACCTAAAAGGGGTTAACAAACAACAAGTAGAAAACAAACCCGTTAGCACGAAGCTAAGTATAACGCCACTCAACCATGTAAAGTACTACAGTATATACTTTTGGAAAACAATTTTCTCATACTTAAATCAAGTATTATTAAACACTTAAGCAACATATAAACATGCTCATCAGGGTTTCTATATGCTTGCAACCTAATTATTCAAATAGGCATGCTTTCACAAATATTTAACTTATCAACAAACTCATAACATCATATATCTCATTAAGCAATCTCATGCTAGCACATAACTCAATAAGCGATCTTGTGCTATCCTATAATCTCAAATCAATCTCATGCTATCATATACTCATCATGCAATCTCATGCAATCATCTATCATTATAATAAAGTAGTAACTTTTGGCCTAAAACATTTTCCTGCCCACACTAACCGGCGTCGTTTTAATAAGATAACTCAGCAGTCGAATTAATCGTGGCTAATAGTCTATTACCGATGTAAATAAAGACTTCTAATAGTCGAAGAGTTCTAATTACATTGAGAAGCTAACCTATAATCGACATTTATTTACATATATAAAGATACAGATATACACATACAGCTATTACACATCTATATACGAGAAAATGCTTCGAAAAAATAATCTATTGAATGTATACGAGAAAATGCTTCGATGAAATAATCTATTGAATGTAATCTTGGGTCTTAAAACGTTTCAAGCAACATTCATAGTTCCAAGACAATATTCAAAATTGAAAAACAAATTTCAGCCTCTATATAAAGTTCCCTTGATATCAATGTTCACCCACAAGTAAACAATCTCTCCAGTTCAAACCACTTGCAAATACGCAAACAAAGAATTAAAAATCTGGGCAAAGATACTATGTCATCTCAGTATTGATTAAACACAGTTGCTTGAAGATTACGGTGAGAACACCTGCCACCTGCCATCTTAGTATTGATAAAACACAGTTGCTATGTCACCCCAGAGTTGATTAAACACAGTTGCTTGAAGATTACGGTGAGAACACCTTCCACCTGCCATCTTAGTATTGATAAAACACAGTTGCTTGAAGATTACGGTAAGAACACCTGCACATCTGTTTGTTTTTTTTTTTTTTTTTTTTTGACAATTGTATTGAGATTTTTTCTGGATTATGCATGTGGACAGACAAAATTGGTAGCATAGTTTTCTGCAAACATTTCTATTCTCACCTATATTATCTACTAATTATTCAGTTTTTTTTTGTTCAATTACTACTATATATTCATGTTTGGTTTCTTTTCTATTTCTTTATCTAATTTCCAATATTAGACTATTGGTTTCTGTGGAGGATGATACTGAGGAGTTGAAGGAGCAGATGCACAAGGAGATGGGAAAGGTATACACTTACAAAAGCCATGGTGCTTAATGATGAGGATATTTCGTCCCTTACTAATAGGTCTGCTGTGTGATGTGTTCCAGGTGATATCCATGTTGTGTGATTTAATGATTTTGGGGCTGCCTTCAAATCTCCATGATTGTAAAAAAAGAAAAAAAAAAAAAAAGTATGAACAAGGCAGCCAACAAATATGTAATTCTCACAATTTGCATTTCAATCCAAAACCCATCCATGAATTTAAAGTGTAAAAAAATACAAATTAAAATATTTGAATAGTATATGATCTACAGTGAAAAATTAAATATACAGTGACAAGAATGGCATATATTGAGCATTGATGCAACTATTTTTTCTGCTCATTTCATTTTTATATTTTACAGAAAGTTGTATTGGATAATTGCAGGTCATGAAGAAGCTATAGTTGAATTATTTTTTGAAGGATTTGTGAGTTTAGAATGTCCAAAAAATTGAGCATTTGTATAAAATGTAATTAAATGGATATAAAGTGTATAAATTGAAAAATAATTTCAAAAAATTTTGGATTTTCCATATGCATGTATAAATTAAACTTACAATGTTTTAACACTGATTTTGTATTTTAGTCTTATAGTGTTGTTGACTTCCCTACTCACCCACCTGCAATAATTCATTCAAAAATAAATTATTTAATAGTATATAAATAGTAAATAAATTATAATGTGTTTTTAGTATATTCAAGGACACACACAAGTCCAAATTGTTGTTTTTCAATTTTCTGAACATTTCTATTCTCACCATTTCTATTCAAGTCCAAATAAATTATAATAGTATATAAATAGTAAATAAATTATAATGTGTTTTTAGTATATTCAAGGACACACACAAGTCCAAATTGTTGTTTTTCAATTTTCTAAACATTTCTATTCTCACCTATATTATCTACTAATTATTCAGTTTTTTTTTTTTCAATTACTACTATATATTCCTGCTTGGTTTCTTTTCTATTTCTTTATCTAATTTTTTTGTATTAGACTATTGGTTTCTGTCGCTTTGAAATGTTGCAGGATGTACTCTGCAACAAGGTAGTGAAGATGAATACATTGGAATACCAAAATGATAATAAAACTTCATTTTTATTACCAATTCTAATATATATTCTAATATAAATATGTAATTAATACATTGTTTTGTAGGTAAAACAATGTAAGGAGAACAGCATTCCATGGTGTTGAGGTGATTGCAGCAAAGCAAAGGCTTGATTGAAGAATAAAGTCTTGAAAGAGGTCAACGATAGGTGTGACAGCTTCTGAGCTGAAGGGTACTATGTCAAAGGTTAATGTAGAATTTTAATTTTTTTTTTTGATTACTTATGGATTTCTAATCCATTTTTAATGGTTTAGGTTATCAAAAATGTAAATAAGGAGATGCAGATTAAAAATGACACAGCTCTGTTGTCTACTATTGTCCTAGCAAGCATTTTGTATAACAAATACAATAAGGTATGCTAATATTATATACATATTGGTTTATCTATCTAAAAAAAATCTACCTATGTTTTACTAACATTATTTCTTTAGGTAACTGTTGATATCCCCCAGAGCTGGAGAAAGTGATTGGATTTAAGAAAGAACAACAAAGGGATCCTACCTTAGGTTTTACTGTTTTAAGACTTTTAAGAGATGAACTATTAGTGGATACCTACTATTCTAAGCTCAAGGTACACCAAGAATGCCTATTGTAACCACATGTAAATCCATAGTTTTGTAATTACATGTCTTTAATAAATTTGTTTTAAATGAATTTATTTTTTTTGAATGAATGTATCTGGCTGTATAGAATAGAAAGGTGATTCACACTAATCTTTTTAGTTTTAAAACAGTATCAGAAAAATATTACATCCTTCCAAAAAAACTTGGTCTTTAATGGACAGTTATAGGCAAATAATCTTTGGACATGGCTTAGTTTAAATTCTGCAAACTGCACTATGGACAATATGTACTAGATTGAACCCTATTATCTACTTTTATTATTTAAAAATATTATGGTATGTTTTAAAAGTAGTTAAAAACTAAATAAGTTCATAAGAAAATAAAGGCAAACAAATAGAGATTTTTTAAAGGGTTAAATCAATAAGTAAACACAAGCCATCTTTTATTGTCCCAACCTGGCCTGGTTTATCTACCTATACTTATTTGTAGAAGAAGCAAATATACTTTGTGTTTTTTGGTTTTGTATGGTGCTATCAACGAATGTACCTAAGTTTCTAGACTGTGTATCTTAGTGATGTAATAAACTGAGATTATCTAAACAAAAAGCATTTATGTTTCTGTAATTTCTTTTCCTTAACTTTGAGCTCAAACTAAAACCACAGCCTTAAACAAAAAAAAAAAAAAAAAAAAAAAAAAAAAAAAAAAAAAAAAAGAATATAAATGCTTAATTAAATGTAGTGAATCATATAAGATTGTAAGTGGAACGAATTACCTCCAAATGCAATGCAGTCTTCTCATTCATCCAAGTTAACTTTATCACAATATGGTGGTTGATTCCCTTAACCTGCATATAGTTAAGATAATAATTAGTGCACTGACCTATTAACAATCAAAGTTAATTGAAATGATTCAATACAATGTGCATAATTATATCGGAGTTGATCATTCAGATGATACACAAAAGCATCTACCTTCAAACAATAGTGTAATCAACCACCATAAACAACAGATTAGTACATTTGGGAAAGTGTTTTGAAACCCTTAACAACCCCTGCATGTCCAAAAGCTGCTTCGTCTCCCCATATTTGTCACTCCTCATTAATTTATCTAGAAGCTTAGAAACAAGAGCAGGTTCATCCTCCTGATGAATGTAAAAAGGAAATATCAAAAGAAAGATCAATTGTGAGTATAGCAAATATTTTGTATTTGAAAAGTGCAGTAAGCCAGTAAGGTATTTATAAGAAAAGGGGAGAGGACTTTAAAAGAAAGAAGTAAGAGCAACAAACAAAAGTAAAAATAAAGAGAAATAGTACATACACAATAAGAAATTCAATCAACTTCACTTTTGGTTGATCAGGGTAAGAGTAAAAAACAGCGGATTTAGGATTAGAAACTGATAAGTTATAAATTCAAATTAACATTACAGAACCCAATTCAACTCACTTGATTCATAGAAAAGTAAGGACCTATTTAGTAACCAAAGAATTCTCCAATTCTCTGGACAATTGGAAGGTAAAAAAAAAAAAATGGAAAACAAAGCTTTCTGTTCACATACCCAAGACCACTATTTTTAAGTGCAAGCAGCACACTAATTGTCATCCTTGCTTAATTAAATTTTAAACCAATTTAAAGTGGTCAACAAATTTTTCAATATTACTGAACCAGAACATTAATTGGTGGTCTTTCCAAAAAAAAAAAAAGAAAAAAAAAAACCATCTAAAACATGGAGATGATGAACACTGATGTTAGACTTAAACCGTAAACCTAATATGCGAAATCGAACTAAGGAACTCCATACCTGCGAAATCGAACTAAGGAACTTCATACCTTTCTTCAGATGAACTAAGAAAGTAGCTTATGTTGAGAAATTGCTCCAGATTATGGTTGTATGGACAGGTAGTAACAGATCTAACGATAGATGGTAATAGAAAGAGAAGAGAGAGCAGCGACGCTCTCTTCGGACAACGGTGAGAGGAGAGAGTTGGATCGTAAGAGAGCTGAAGCGACTTCTAGAGCCTTCAAGTCCTCTTTTATTTATTTATTTATTTATTTATTTATTTATTTATTTATTATTATTATTATTATTATTATTATTATTATTATTATATGTGTGTGTAGATAAGTAGCGTAATGTGTATATATAATATATAATTATATTTTGTGTGTGTAGATAAGTAGCGTAATTATATTTTGTGGGAGAGAAAGTATATGAACAGATACTACAATGTAATAGAACCAGTAACTTTAAAAAAAAAAAAAAAAAAAATATTTTGTGGGAGAGAATTGCGGGATAACCCGGGTTCGATTCCCACAAGTGACGATTCCTTTTGGGCCAGCTTCTGTGCCTCCCGAAGCGAACCGGGCGTACCTGGACCGTTAAACGGACAGAGAAAGACCCAGACCACATTGTGATTTACACCAATATATATATATATATATATATATATATATATATATATATATATATATATATATATATATATATATATATATTAAATAAAGTAATTAATAACTTTATTGGTAATTTGTAGATATTTAATATTCAGATCAACGAAATATTTTAATTGTGTTCCAAAACAATGATTCGTCATCAAATCAAAATCAAAATCAAGTGATTGGAGTGTTCAAATCTTCACTATATAATACATTGAGTACATGCATTCATGGTTAGTATTTGTTATTGTGAATAATGGTTTATGGTTTATAAAACTCAGCTATCAAGATACAATGTTTTGTCATAATGATTTAGAACATAAACAAATAAATATAGCAAAAAAGTAGTATAGATAATGATTTATTTATCTAATAGGATGTACATGAAGTTTAGTCCAAAATTAACATCACGGTAATACTAATATTTATAGAACTTAAATCGAACATCGCCGGGTAGTCGAAGATCCGAGGCCATCATCGGTTAAATTTCACGACTGGACCAAGATTTTAGGGTAGAAGTTAGGAGAGTGATTGAGACAACGATTACTGTCAAATAAAACCTCCACAAACAGATTTCAAGTACATTTTAGGGTGGATTGTAGGTTTTCGGACCAAGAAAGCGAGAACGGTGAAGTCGCGATCGAGAGGAGAAAGAAGATGAAAGGTCGGCGATGAAGATGAAGATGAGGGCAAGGTGCGGTTTTATTACACCAAATTTGTGCTAGCGGGTCGGGTTGTTGTATAGGGTTAAATATTTGTTTTGGACCGTTTTTAAAATACAGAGTATTAATTTGATAACATATATTAAGGCTTGATTAATGTATTATATTAAGAAAGCCTGGTTATTTTAGTGCAAATTATTGTAGGATCATGGTCCAAGTAGCTGTATGAACCATGAATATCATTTACATTTTATATGTATTATAATTAAATTTTTAGTACACATTGCTACATTATTTGATATCGAGATATATTATATGTCACTATATACACATTGCTAATGGACCGCAAGTGATTGATGAAATATGTATTATGTTTGTACAATTGTTGATAGCATATTCCCGGGGTTTCGTAGTGGCAACAGAGATCTTAAATATCTAAAAGATCGTGCAATTTTGGCACCAACTTTGAATATGGTAGATACAGTCAATGAATACATGAATGAATATAATAATGCTGAAGGAAGGACGTATCTCAGTTGCGATTCAGTATGTAAATCTGATTCTAATGTTGACATGCTTGTTGATCTGCACACACTTGAATTTTTAAATAGCTTACGATGTTCTGGAGTTTCAAATCACTCATTGACTCTAAAAGTTGGCTCACCAGTTATGCTCTTGAGAAATATTAATCACTCATTGGGGTTGTGCAATGGTACAAGGATGATCATTTCAAAGTTGGCTGATCATGTTTTAGAAGGTCAAATACTGTGCGGATCAAGTGCTACTACAAAGGTATTAATTCCAAAGATGTCCTTAACACCTTCTGATCCAAGATTGCCTTTTAAGTTCTAAAGAAAACAATTTCTCCTAATGTTGTCTTATGCCATGGCAATAAATAAAAGCCAGGGTCAAACACGGTCTGACGTGAGTTTGTTTTTGAAGAGGGTGATATTTAATCATGGTCAAATGTATGTAGCATTGTCAACAGTTAGTAATCCTAAGGGATTAAAAATACTCATTTGTGAAGAAAATGTACAATCTAAAAATACGACTACAAATGTCGTATATAAAGAAGTATTTAATAATGTCTAATAAATTCCAAATTTTGTGCCATTTTTTTTATATATAATACTATATATTATATTAATTATATTTATGACCGTGCATCGCACGGGTGCAAATACTAGTATAATCTATAAGCAATCTCATGCTATCATATACTCAATATGCAATCTCATGCAATCATATAATCTATAAGCAATCTCATGCTCAATATACAATCGCGTGCAATCATATAATCTATAAGCAACCTCATGCTCAATATGCAATCGCGTGCAATCATATAATCTATAAGCAATCTCATGCTATCATCTTGATCATGCAATAAAATGAACATGATGCTTTAGTATAAGTATAGATAGATATACATATACACTGTAACACCCCAAATTTTTGAAACTCTTAAAACTTATATAATAAAGATAATCTCTTATTAATTACCAAACAGAACATAAACTAAATGTAATTGTCGGGGTGCTAAGCCACATCGGAGCTGGAGAACTCAAATGCACAGGCTAGACTATCTAAACATCCTCAAAATAGTGTCAATACATCATCATGGCACGCAGGCCGAAAGGAAAACTAGCTAACTAAGTCTCGGTCCTCTAGCGCGCTCTGGAGCTACTCATCTGTGCCTGAAAGCCAAATATATCTGTTCAGCGAATAATGCTGGTAACCCACTCCAACGCGTTAAAATACAATAAATATATATATATATATATATATATATATATATATATATATATATATATATACACATATGTATGTATATACACATATGTATATATATATACACATATGTGTATATACATACATATGTATATATATATATATATATATATATATATATATATATATATATATATATATATACTCATATGTATATATATATATATACACATATGTATATATATATACACACATATGTATATATATATATACACATATGTATATATATATATATACATATGTGTACATATATATATACATATGTATATAGGGAAGGATTCAGGTGCGGGTATAGCTTCCCGTGCGGTTGTGCGGTTAGATCTGAGCTGTTGATCAAATTTAGATCAACGACTCAAATTAATAAAAATTAAAAAAAAAAAAAAATTCGTGTCAGGAAGAAGATAGCGCATACACAGTGTCTACACAAATGATAGCGTCTACACAAATAGTAGCGTATACACATAGAGTCTACACAAATGATAGCGTCTACACACAGTGTCTACACAAATGATAGCGTCTACACATAGCGTCTACACAAATGATAGCGTCTGCACAACCTCACGCACATTAAGTACAAACCCCACACACATTAAGCACAGCCTTCACGCACATTAAGCACAAACCCCACGCACTTTAAATATAAACTCACAGACTTTAAGTTTCAACAACTACTAACATTAAGTACAAAACTCTCGCACATTAAGTACAAAACCCACGCACATTAAGCACAAACATCACGCACATTAAGCACAAAACTCACGCACTTTAAGTATTAACTCACAGACTTTAAGTTTTAACAACTATTCACGTTAAGCACATCCCCACGCACATTAAGCACAAACCTCACGCACATTAAGCACAAACCACACGCACATTAAGCACAAAACTCACGCACATTAATCACAGATCCGCTCACTTTAATTTTGACCTAGATGCAAAAATTACAAAATTGCCACCGTGTTTTTTTTAAAAACTTTGATAATCCTGGACGTTGATTAAAGCGAGATGAATGGCTCAGATTAAACCGCACAACCGCACCTGAAGCCTTCTCCCGCACGAGAACCTAAATCCATGTGTATATATATATATATATATATATATATATATATATATATATATATATATATATATATATATATATATATATATATATATATATATACTTAGGAAACTCTAGCTTTAAAACCGAGAATAGACTCAACAAGTAGGGACAAACACATTCAACATTTATAATCATGCATATAAAGATACTAGCATATATCTTAAGGTCACAAGATTTATTTCACATCATTCATATCATTATTCAATCATTATCTCAACACATAAGCACACTTTGGTGGCGCCACAGGACCAATCGCATGCCAATACATGACGGTCAGCGCATATAGCGCTAACACGGCCCCGCAGGACCCTGCCTCATACCGCAACATGAAGGGGTTGATCGCAACCAACTGATGAACCGCAGCTCATCATAACGTTTGATCGCAACCAAACGGTGAACCGCAGCCCTATATAATATTTATATACCTGACCGATCGCAACCGGCTTGGTTAACAGCCGATGGTTCTCAACCCATCAAACTGCCCATATAACCAATTTGATCGCAACCAAATTGGGGTATCATGCACATATAACACATAGCAAGCACATGCAACCCACATTAGCACATTGTGAAGGGGGAGAAAACGTATAAATAAACTTATGCGTGGTCATCTACATACTAGGAATATTCCTAAGGGGTTCATACATCTTTCACCTAGGCCAACGGGATACCAATTCAATTAGCATGCAATACACAAGACTCTTTTATCCTACGAATGGTACCCGAAACATCAAACTAGACTCAGGCACGACAAACGGGGTCCGTTGGGACACCTCGGGGGTTGGGGAAATATCAAATGGGGAATACCACCATCCCACATTGGAAATTTCCAGCGGGTGGTCGGCGTCATACCTCTTGGCAGCGGGTGCCCGGCGGGCAGTCGCCTGCCCGCCTGCTGCCCGCTGCCGGCGACACCAATAAATTAGCGGGTAGGTGGCGGGTTCCCTACCCCCACCTACCCCCCACTGACTCTTTTGTAATATCTCGGTCCCGGGATCTTTTGTGGAACCCG